TGAGGGGCCCAAAACTGGACACAGTATTCCAGGTGTGGCCTCACCAGCGCCGAGTACAGGGGGACAATCACCTCCCTGCTCCTGCTGGCCACACTATTCCTGATACAAGCTGGGATGCTGTTGGCCTTCTTGGCCACCTGGGCACACTGCTGGCTCAATTGTTCAGATTACTGGTTCTCAGGGAATTTTTCATATGTAGTAAGTATAATTTATCTGACTGTAATTGGCTCATTCCGAGCTAAACCTCAGCTTGATATCTCTTCTTTTGAATATAGGTATTGCAAAGCTTCCAGTACTTTGTGTACAAATTCCAAATTCTTGCTTGCTTATAATCTTTTGTAGGAGGATATTGTATTTTTCCTCTGCAATAAGCAACTGTACTTGGTAGCAAAAATTGTTGAGTTGTTTGGATTTTAGTGTTTGTTTTTTTTTTAAAGCTACTCCTTTAAAAAGAAATGAATCAGTAATTGGAGAAATAAAGAAAGGCAATGTAGATTCGTTCTTGAAATAATTATTATTTGCTTTCAGGAAGTACCAGATGATCTTGATGGTGCTCCCATTGAAGAAGAGCTTGATGGTGCTCCACTAGAAGATGTGGATGGAATTCCTATTGATGCTGCTCCTATTGATGATCTGGACGGAGTCCCAATTAAATCTCTGGATGACGATCTTGATGGAGTTCCTTGTATGAAATGTTTCAAATTCACTTTCAATTTGAATCTTCAATTTTTGATGATCTTCCCCCCTCCCCCCCCCCAGTAGTTTTTATGAGTACAGTCAAGAATTAATATGGAATGTAGCTTCATAAAATGTTGAATTGATTAATTTCAATTTGTTCTAGGAAGAATTTGTTTAAAAACTGCTTTTAGATTTTAATGGCTTCAGAGACACAGTAGGTGTCTTCTACTACACACATCAGATTCCAAATCCTAATTTCTTTTCTTTGCAAATAATGAAACTGTAATACGCTTCAGTATTTAAATCTGATTGTTATATTAGCATTTTTCCATTTGAACTTTTCAAGAACTTTGGAAATTATTTTTCTGTATCTCTTTCTCCAACAGTGGATACGGCTGAAGACTCAAAAAAGAATGAGCCTATATTTAAAGTTGCCCCTTCAAAATGGGAAGCAGTGGATGAATCGGAATTGGAAGCTCAAGGTTAGTTTTCAAAGTATATATTAAACTGAAACACTTCCCAAAGTAAACTGGAAGCTTAATGTCACTTACCTATTTCATTATTATTTTCATCTGATCTATTTAGAAGTGCTAATATGACTTCTGTAGTAATACAGTAGGATTTTCAGTTGTAACTTCTTTTTTTGGTTATAACTTCAGTGAAGAAAATAGTGTATTCTGTTTTTGTCGTTCTACTTCAATGACCTACCAACCTTTAAAAATAATTTCCAGTTCATTAAGAATAATTACTGAAAAAAAATCTGAGTATGTGGTTGGCAGTCTTCCTAAATACTTGTTTGGAAGATAAGATTTTACAAACTGACGAATACTTGTCTGCTTTTGAAGGATTTACTGAAACATGATACGCAATGTTAAGTGACTAGCTCTGTAAGAAGTAAATATTCTGATAATGTGCAGTTTGGATATTTCTATAAAATCAAAAGTCTGTAGTAAGTGCTAGATGCTGGTAAATTTTATCACATTGTAATTTTTGTTATATCTACAAATACTACTTTTCAGATTAAGTGATAGCTTTCTCTGTTGTTGAAATTACCTTACTGTCTCTTCTAGCTGTTACTACTTCTAAGTGGGAGCTTTTTGACCAACATGAAGAATCCGAGGAGGAAGAAATTCAAAAGTAAATACTTTTTCATTCTGATGAAAACACATTCATTTTCTTCCTCTAAGGTTGAGTGTCTTTGAAACTCCCTATAAAATATATATGTACTATAAGAGCAGAAAAAAAATGAAATTTTGAAAATAGGAAAATAAGAAAACGGAGAAAAATCAGGGTTTCAGTGCAGATTGCTTTCAGGCCCCATAGTTTTTTTCTAACACAATAAATTACACCTTTTGGTAGAGCTGTTAACCATAATCTTTAAACTAATGCTGATTTGATAATTTAATATCAAATAGTAAGAACTAAGGTAGTAGTATTTTACGGTTTGGAAATCTTGATGTCAGATATGTGTGAATATATCTAAACCTCTGCCTTTTGCTTTTGAGACAAACACAGTGAATAATGTTCTGATGTGCATGTTTCTTTGGATGCTAATAGACTCCATGCCATCTATTGTTTTTGAGCGGTCTTTTACTTTGTTCTTTAGGCAACTGAGAGCATCTGTTATAACATAATCCTTTAAATGTCTTGCTGCATTGCATGTAGTCCTGCAGCACTCTAGTGGCCAGTCTGGGAATATAATTTTGAGTATCTGCCATGTCTCAGGTGTGTCTCCAAAAAGGAAAAGTGTAGTAAATCTTGTTCTTTTATAAAAATTATTATATCCGAAAAGCATGATTGCAGCACTTAGATTCTGTTGAGGTAGTGGACTTGTTCTGTAGCTGAGTTAGGTATGGATTTGGTGACTGTAAATTTCAAGAATTCTTCTGCACTCTGTTTATATGAAAAGTGTAAATTACCTGATTAATAAAAATTATTTAATTAAATGAAAATACTAAGATATGTGTCTCGCAGATGGAGACTGTTTTGTAGCTGCAGACTTTTACATAACAATCCTACTTAACAGATTTCAAAACTAGTAACTAATCGTAGAAACTAAGTAGGAGAGATGGTAAATTTTGTAACAGATAATGGCCTTAAATAAATACATATATATATCAGTTAATTCTGTATGTTTTCTGTAAAGTCAAGAAGAAGAAAGTGAAGATGAGGAAGACACTCAGAGTTCTAAGTCAGAAGAGCAACACATGTATTCCAATCCTATTAAAGAAGAAATGCCTGAATCCAAGTCTTCAGTCAAATATTCAGAAATGAGTGAAGAAAAGCGTGCCAAACTCCGAGAGATAGAGGTCAGCCTGTGGTGTTTTGTGCCAGCATTCTGTACCTTTCCAATCTTCCCCCTGCCCAGAGTTCTCTACGTATAACAGGGAGTTATTTTTACTGAAATAATTATAGTCCTATTATATAGTGGGTTTTTTAGTCCGGTGTATTTTTATAAAGATATGTTTGTTTACGGCCTTGCCTTGTTTTGGCTTTCAAAGTAATGCAGGAAAAAATGAAAAATTGAGTCAGGGGCTATTGCATGTTGAGAATTACTCTTTCTTTTTTTTTTTTTTTCTTTCTTTTCTTTTTTCTTCAGCGTCCTTTTTCAGTACCACCAGTGGCCTTAGATTGCTTGGGTTCCTCTTCACTTTGCTGCTCTTGGCAAATGGGAGTGACTTTTGGATGTGGCCTTAGTCCTATGCTTTTTTTGTTCTCTCTGTCTCTTGCCTTGAAGTGTCTGTATTTTATTGCATTTAAAAGTTGCTCTTTTCACTGTGTCAGCCATCAAACAAAAAAGTAGATGCAACTAAATCAGGTGGTCTTGGAAATGAGGCATTTTAATCGAAGACCTACATGCATTTTATAGGGCTCACTCATTCTTTTATCCTTTCTCCAAGGATAGGTCTTAGTATAGCTGTTAAGGTTGATGAGCACAGATTCTTAGGTCTTCATGCTGGCTTCTGAGCTTGTGGTTGACTGAGAAGATAACTAAACTTGAATTTAGCATGAGCTTTGTCTAGCAGTGAAGCCTTTCTGTCGTACAGTGCCATGCAAAAACAGGTTTAAAATTGCATGCAACTTTCCAGCTTGTAATCGGTATTAAAACCCATGATACGTTGAATACTGAAATTCTTGTGCCTTCTGTTCAGTGCATTAAAATGATATTAAGAAGCTGCTAAACTGCTTGTTGCAGTTGTAGCATCTCCAAGTGACAGATTATAATTTGGGTAACATTTTGAAGGTGGAATTATGGATGCCTACTTATTTATACTATAACGTATTAGTTGGCTAAAATTGGACATTAGCAAAGCCCTGTAATATTCTTTTAAGATGTACAAGCAATAATATTTTAAAATGTCACAACTGTTGTTTCTCCGAAATATGCTTCTATTTAATAATTCAGATTATTAAAATTAATGGACTGTAACTAAGCACTTAAAAACCTCTAGCTTTGCATAGCAGTTTGAAAGTTCATGATGCGTAGCCATTTGAAGTGAGTAAATTCTGAACTGGAGAAAAGCTAAGTGGGATTTATGTCTGACTTGACTCATGGTGGCAGTAGTTCTGTAGAAAATACATGATGTTAGATTAATGAAAGTACAAGTGAAACTAGTTTTCATTTTGCTGTAATAATGATTGTAGCGGGTATGGAAGGGGCTCCTTCCGGACTGAGTATCTGTTTTATAGATGTTATCCTGGCAGTTGGGGAGGCGAATTAGGAAGTGATTTATTTTAACCATTATGAATTTTACCCTGCACAAGTGTTGTAAGTTCTTTCATCAATGTATCCTGTCTGTAACAGTTTTAGGTGGTAAATATTTGAGGTTTTCAAGTGCATGTTGCCATCTTTATTCTTTGTGGTAAGTAAATTACCATCTCAGTTTCAGACTTTAGGAATCGCCAGAAAAGGATTATAACTTTTTTTTTTCATTTTCAGAACATTTGTGACACTGGGTAGAAGTACTTAAATTTTAAAATTTCTCCTCAAGTTTGTCATTGACAGGAAAGTACTCCCTGTACTACTTTCAAGCATTCATGCTCAAAGATTCTTCTTAGTATGTACCCAGTTCCCTGCCAAAGAACACATCCATTATTAAATTTCAGGGGAGGAACTGAAAAAAAAACCCCAGTTACCAGCTTTAACAATTATGCCATCTAATATACACTATTAAAAATGTGTAAAATCTTGGGG